AGAATGTGTTAGGTAGCGGTTAGAAACGGTCAGGTAGGTAGATCTAGGAAACGGTAGACAGTAGTAATAGAGAGTATAGAATAGGCTAATTAGATAGGGAATTAATTTGATTGTTTAATAAAAGACATTTATATTTTGGATCAGACTTGTGTGTGTTAATTCCAAACTATAATGAGGCTGGTATTATCTTCGTCAACCCCACTCACACATCTGGGTGGTTGCTGTTTATCCCCACCCACAAAACTGGTAGAGCAACGGAAAAACATCTAATCTATCCCCCCCCCTCACATATAGCCAAGTATATGTTAGCGACCGAAAGGTTAATGCTACTACTAGATCGATTTGTTCGTACATGCACAACTGCTACAATAAGGCTTATTCGTTAAACCGTTTAATATGCAATGTTTTGTACCTATCTCATAGTATGCGTAATGTTATTATATATTTTAAAAGTGACTTGTGAACAACAGATTGACAGCATAGGTAAACATTTTGAAATCATTGTCGGCTTGTCAACTTAACAGATTTGTCTACAAATTCATGTTTTTCCCTGCCAATAATTGTTAACAATTGGTAAAACTTGTAAACATTTTGTTTACCTGATTTAACACTCAAACAAGCAAATTGATTGTGCCACCAACTCTACATCATCGCGTACTGTTTCCGTTTTCCTTTTCAGTTCTTTTCGGCTGTTTCTCCGTAAGTTCACGTTGTTGATATTTCCCGTTTCATACATTTGCAGCTTTTTACGACTTTTATCCCTGTAGCAACGGGTACTGCCATCTTGACAGAGGAGAGCAAGTTTTGTTTTCTCACAACACGATTATTAACACATTTCCACTATGTGTGTCCACTAGATTCGCTGATCTATAGGTCTACTTTCATGCGAATAGTTATGCCTACATTTGCTGCATTAAATTAGTATAACGGTACATTATGTCAACATGGTTTTTAAAGAAAAATATTTTTGAGTAATATATCAGAAATATAATATTACACTCGAAATATTCGGTTATTCAAGAATAACGGGTAGTGTAGTATGCTACAAAAAGTCTCCTTTTTTACAAGTTTGTATGTTTTGTTTTCTTTGTTTGGTTACATGTGAGCATCTGCACTTTGTGTAGAACAGTAAAACACATATTTATGTAGAGAATAATAATCTTTTTTACCAAACTGTTAAACACAAAATTGATTATGTATTCAATGTCAGAAACACCACTATGATTATACAGTTCAGAACACTTGATTATACACTTATTTTCTTATTTTCATAACAAATTTTCCTCATTCCAATATCGCTTCATATTCTGTGGTCACAGACAAACTGTACCGCACTTGCTAAACTCTACTTCACCTCCCCCGTGTCTCGCCAAGTCTCAGACAACATGTCTTTGTCTGTAAAATACGATTTCGGCAGAACATGGGTTGACCATAATACCCCTTCATATCATGAGGTCACAGGTGAACTCTACTTGACCTAATTTATAAATAACGTTGAGTCGCTCAACATTTTACTCGGTTGCCCGTTTGACAGGTACCGGTGGTGATCAATGGCTTTTTCCCACAGCGGCTTGACAACCGAGCATGATTTATCGCCTCAGGTAAGGGTTCCCAACTCGCATTGGCACGTGAGCACCGTCTCTGGTATGCGGCGGTATGCCACGCTAGGGTTATTTATAAACCAAGTTTCTTTGTCCATCATCACGCCGTTGTAAAACTAATTTCTCTTCCGCGAAGGCGTTACTTTTTATCTGAATACCAGGACCGCGCACAACATTTACAATTTTTCACATTAGTCAGCAAAATTTACTTTGTGTGTATGTTACGGTCAAAGTCCGAAGTGCGGCCAAATCGCGGATTGGCCGGCTCTCTTGGCCAAAGCCCGAAGAACTTAGCACTAAGATCGTATTTCGTACATTGGCCGGCCAATGCGCGCACTGGCCGGGACGTACTGGCCAAAGTCCGAAGCGCTAAAACTTGACAGCGTATTTTGTACATTGGCCGGTCAATGCGCGCACTGGCCGGGATGTCCTGACCAATGTTCTATCTAGACTAAGTTGTGATCGCATTTTTACATTATTCTGGGTGCGTTTTCATTGAGAGTAACGTATTGTTTATCTCTTGTTTGTATAGCATTCTATATGCAAGGCGACATAGATCAAAAGGGCCGTCAGACCAAGAGACAGACATAGCAGATGGCTGTCAAAAGAAAAACATGTAAATCCATGTTAGTTTCCATATATGGGTTCTCGATAAAATAGTTACTGAGGAAGATCTTGAGAACATTGAACAAGAAATGGAGGTTGCCATAAATGCAACGACATCCTCAGTTAACACATCTACTGCCGTGGCGGAACGCCCAGACCAGTTGCCTGACAATAATGTGGCCAACAGATTATGTATAGTTTGTGAAAAACATTGTAGTGCAGCTCATTCTTGTGGATCCTGTGGCAACGATGCCCATGCTATTTGTGGAATACCCAATGAAGCAGACGAAGGGTACGGAGGGAACATTACCTGCAGATTGTGTCATAACAAACAAGACATCATGGAACACAGATCAGCAGCTCATACTGGCATGCAAACTCAAGGTGCTAAGATTCTTAAAACATCAAATACAAAATTTAAAGATGGTGAAGTGGGTGACAATGTACGCATCTGTTTTCCAGATGTTAACAGAGGTCAGTTGTCATGAGCGTCGACATCGCTTTCTACAAGCTAGGAACGGAACGTGGTGTTCTAAAACAAATATATTCTAGAAGTGAGTTTTCAATTCTTCACGAAAAACTGCTCATAAAGTCGTCAGTTGGCACTGAGGAAAAATCTCTACGAACCATCGCATCTGCACAATCATTGACTGGGGGCCAAGGCTACACTCGCTGCAATTGCACAACTAAGTGCACAACAAATCGCTTCAAGTGTAAAAATAACAAGCTGCTATCTAAATCTATAATGGGCCACGTTCGCACATCTCTCTCTCTCTCTCTCTCTCTCTCTGTCCGCAAAAAATTTTCGCCGGACATCACGTCAGAACCGGCAGTGATATATGAAGAACTTTTTACGGACTTTTGTTGAAAATAATATGCTAGATGTTTTAAATGTATAACCACAATTTTATTTAAAGAAGAAAAATAAAAAATAAAGGCGTATTCGAATGTAGAGAAACAGTATTATTTATGCAACCGGAAAAGCATTTATATATGTGAAGAATAACGCATAAAACTGTGACGTCACTATTTATACATTAACTAATGACGACATCTGTCGTGTTTACAATAAAAAGAAATGAACTATTTCATTCAAATTTGATTTAGATCTACGTACACTATGAATTGTATACAATACAATTTTTCCGGCCTAAACTCATTAAATTTATTTATACAAAATCTTTGTTTGGAACTGGCTAATTTGGGATAAAAAAATTAATTTGAAAGAATAGGCATATTCGCGTAAGTTAAGATTTTAAAATAGGTCTTTCATTCTCTGTATTTTATAAGGTGCCTAAATAGCGGAGATGTTAGTGTACTATAAACCACGCAGGTGGTGCGGGTTCGAGACACACCAAGTCAACTTGGTTAATGTATTTTTTTTTATTTTGCTCGGGCTAAACTTAAAAAAAAAAATTCTATTAGGATTCTAGATCTAGATCTAGATTGTCGGGTGTCCGATAAGGCACTTCCCGGCGCCGCAGGCGCTTCAAACTTGGCAGGATCTTGCCTTGGGGCGACAGAACACGGGGGCCGGTTGGCCGAAAAGTCTAAGATGAGGGGGTCAAAACTGACCTCGACTGACCGGTGCCTTATATGAGCTATAAATCGAAAAAAAATGTCCACGGAGGAACCTCTTTATAACTCTTGAGGTCGTAGACCGACCCACGGGCGAATTAATTAAGCATTCAAATTCTCAATGTTTTCGAAAGCCTAAGCGAAGCTGGGCAGCATGCCTAGTGTAATTCTAAATGCCATAAAAGTTCAACTTGTTGTAACAAATTATGATATTGATAGATTGAGACTACAATAAAAAATTTGAATATTTCTGTCATTTACTTTAATTAATAATCAATAAAGACTTAATTTCATGATCCTTATGGCATAAAAAAAAACAAAATCTGCTCATGATCTTCTAATTCGGACTTTGGCCTGTCGTCTCTAGCCAGATGATCTTCTAATTTAGACTTGGCCAAAGGCCAAAATGAAGAGCTATTACAGACTTTGGCCGGTCCACAATGGCCAGTCTGCGGATTGGCCGGCTAAAGGCCGAAATCAAGCAAAGTTTCGGCATTTGACCGACCTATGGGAGGCGATATTGGCCAATGCGCGGATTGGCCGGCCAATCCTAGCATTGGCCGACTTCGGGCTTTGACCGTAACATATACAATATAAACTCGCATTATATCAGTGGTTAATTTTTTCGTTTGTTTTTTAATTAGTTTGATTTTAATTAGTTTTTTTATTAGTTTGTTTAATTTTAAAATAAGGAAGTATTTTAAAGAAATACTAATTATTTTTATTTTTTAAAAATGCATGTTTAAATACTCATTGAAATAAAATATTTAACTAATTTAGTGTTTTGAATAGGCCATAACAACAATTCGTGTTGAAAAAACATTCGGGTGAACCACGCAAGTTGTTCTTTATGTGGTCACCTATCTCATTACATCTATACTGTTCTATAATGACAAGCTATCTCATTAAATCTATAATTAACTTTGCGACCTACAAAATACTGTATCTAACCCTGTTGTCAGGTGTTAGATACAGTATTTTGTAGGTACATTTATTTTATTTACATAAACATTTTGTTTTAGGTTTTACCATTTGTACTGCTTATAGGTTATTAGAAGAATCTTCAATACTTGTTTGATGGTTTCATACACTTTTATTTATTTACATAAGCTAGACTATATTCTAATCACGACGTTTTCATTGTTTTTTATTTAATTTTGTTTTATTTTTTCATCATCTGTTAACTTTAAGGTTCTATAACTCTATTACACAAACATGTGGATCGTAATCGTTATAATAGCCCAGTGTATCATCACAAAAGGTTAGTCATGTGTTGTAAGTTTCTTTGTTAAGTTTTATTTTATAAGTAGACACAATGTAGCCATTGCTATAGGAATTATTTAATATATCAATATATAGCATTTAGCAGAAATTATATAAGCACTACAATACATCACCGTTTAGTTAATTTATATGATATATATACTGTTTAGCAGTCATATCCCCCTATTATAGGATATCGTAATTTCTATACATACAGCAATTAGTAATATATAGTATTATAACTTTATTTTATTTATTTACATACAACATTATACGTTAACTTCGTGCGATTGAAGATGTTATATTTTATTTTTTTCTAAAACTTAAAGCTGAAAATATTTCTAGAGTTCACAGTATGTATAATCTGCTGATATTCATCATATATTGAACAAAACGTGTTTTTTAAAATAATTTTTATAATATTGAGTACAACTAATATAATAATTCCACGTTCGCAGAATGTGGATGAAATACATTTCATCTGTATCACTGAACACGGCATGTTCAATTAAAGTAATGCCAACTGCCTTTAATTACTCTAAATAACATGTGGGGCATACAATGTGTTTTCTCTACCCCAAGTCCATTCAAACAACTCGATAAAACAAACTCAGTATAAAGCTGTTGATGACACAAACTTGACCACGCTGCCCATCTATGTAGAGTTTGACCAAGTCAGCCTTTTGTCCTGCGCCCATCTTTGTTCAAGTTCGAAGAAAACTTGCTACAGCTACATCTACAATAAAACCACAAAGTATTGTAGCCTGGGTAAGATTGTTTTATACTGACAGTCAGACAATTCCATGAAAAAATCATTTTGTGTGCAAACTAATTGAAATATTTTGTTAGAACCATATTGCTAGTATACGACCGTACTGTAACAGCTATGGTTTTAGTAATGAAGACAAAAACATAATCCTCTTATTGGTCTCATAACAAAAGAAATGTGCGTACGTTGTCATGGCTTATAACTGGTTCTTGAAGAAAATAAAATCACTTAACGCACTTTTACCCAAAATGAACGATTACCTGACATCACTTTACTTAAACATGACATTCTTTTTTTCATATTACTAGCTGTGTATTTCTACCGATATGATTTTGCGGTTTTAGTGCTTAGAATTTTTAAAAAAATATAACTGTTCACAAATATTTATTTTTTAAAAAATCCACAAACATTTGTATTTTCTCGTATATACGAAGTATAGAGAAAGTCTTGTAATCGGGTAAAAAAAAAGATTTTTACAAATCTCGACTTTTTACACCTACCTGAGTCGGAAAAACATAGTTTTTCAGACTTGTCCGTATGTGTGTGTGTGTGTGTGTGTGTGTGGATGCGTGTGTGTCTGTAACACGATAACTTGAGTACCCTTACAGCTAAGTTAATGAAATTTCATATACAAGTATTATATCAAAATCGTAGATCAATATCAACTTTTGAGCGATTTCCAATAAATGGAAGAGGAGCTTTTCCTACTTTAAATTTTTTAAAGCCTTAAAACTTGAGTACTATTTCAGATAGATAAATGAAAATTCACATGTAAGTAAAAAAATCTAATTTTCTGCCATCATACAATTTTTAATAATTTATGTTGACCGAGAGTAGTAATGTATAATATTTTGCACTATTATGAACATCTTATTAGGCGTTTACTTGGTGTGTAATTCTTTTTTCTACGATATATTATTCTATTTTAAAAAGTATAAGTAGCCTATTTAAAATGGATTTAAAATCATGTCAATATCCCGTTTTACCATTTACTGCTGTTTCATATAAGAATATTCGAGAAAGTTTAGGGGAAATTACTCCCGGTTTATTCTTTACTGTAACTTTAAACGGCACCTCGTAAAGAACGTTGCTTTTTTTTAGATATAAAACATCTGCGAGTGCAGATACCACTATTGGTTTAGTATCGCATTTAGTTATTCTTGTTATCTACTAATTAGCTAATTCAAAATATTATTAAAAAAGATTTGTAATTGCTAAAGCAGAAATTGATCTAAATTTAAATGTTATGTTCTAACTTTTAACACAGAGTTTGGTCTACACAAATTTTTACTGCGTCTGTGAAAATGTTGACATTTTAATACACGTTCGAGAACAAACACACGTGGGCGACAGGCAACACATGTTAATAGTACACATTTTGTAATAGTACAACTAGGAATCCACCAGCTCCAACTTACACTCCACAAATGTGCACATACCCAGGCTGGTCTAATGTGAGACTGTGTTTAACAAGAGGGTAAAATTTGGAAAATCGTACGTCTCTGTCAAAAATCAAATGTCGGATTTAAGATTTCATGGATTATTTTTAAATACTTGTCAACATTACAATAAACCCACGATATATCTAAACTTTGATTTGATAAAACAGGCTCCTGGCTAGTCCCACTGAAAGCTTCACAACAGAATGTTGAGGGAAAATTGTTCTCTAGTGGGAAGATCTGTAACACAACCAGAAACATCACTGTCATGTCTGATGGTTCCATCACCAGAACCGACATTATGATTTGTACGGGTGATGTAAAAATATCTTACCATACAAATTCTGCAAATGCTGTTGTGGACTGGAATAGCTTGTATAAGATTCACTATAATTTATGTGATGTGTCAGCATATGTTAAGTGATATATCAACATTTAACAACGCCAATGTCTTAGTGTAGGTCGCCTAATATGTTACACATACAATTATTCTATTCAACTCCGTTAATGTATGTATGCCGGCCCACACGCCGGTTCTATCTTCTCAAGCAACGTAGTTAAAGCGTATTGCATAAACTAGGCTAAATAAATAGTTTAATTTTCAACAGGCCACATTGATCCAAATAATCAGCAGTGACCACCGACCTTTGGTGACCCTAAGCTCTGGACTTCAGGTCATGTGTGACACAGTGACAGACGGTGGAGGATGGACCATTTTCCAAAGACGTGTTTCTGGGACTGTAGATTTTTACAGGAACTGGACGGAATACAAAAATGGGTTTGGTGATTTTAGTTCAGGTAATTTTTACCTGGGTAATGAGAACATTTTTCTCTTAACGTCTAAAACCAAAACAGAGCTGAGAGTAGATATGACCTTCAATGGAACAAGTTATTTCGCCTAGTATTCCAGCTTCAACATTTCTAGCGAGGCAGACGGCTATAGGCTACATGTTGATGGCTACACTGGAGATTTATATCATGCACTAGCCTACCAAAACGGTATGATGTTTTCTACATTTGACCGCGATAATGACATACACACTGGATTAAACTGTGCTGATTACTTTCACGGAGCGTGGTGGTTCAGTAATTGCGGCGACTCTTGTCTTAACAATGTTTGGGGTACAACGAATGTAAAGTGGAATCCAAAGACTAATCCAACATTTATTGAAATGAAATTTAGATTAGTTTAACATTATCAAGAGCCTCAATCTGCATTTTGGTACATAAATTATGCTGTTTACATGCGGTAGCCAGTATTTAAGTTATTGAAGCTTTATTGGTAATCTTTATTCTATTGTTATTATAAATATATATTTATCATGATTTTAACTGAAAATAATAACGTATTTTCCTGTTATACAAAGTGTATAATTTTTTATCTATATATATGTATATATAAAGTATGTCTGTGCGTCTGTCTGTGTGAGTGTTTGCCTTTGTTTTCTTATTTCCACAAGTTTCACAGATTGCCGTGTTACTTTGAAAAGCATAGGCTACGCCTACGAAAGTTTCTGCGATAAAATAAATAAACGTATGCCTCCAACGGCTCCTTAGAGCCCCAAGGGCCATAAAATAGTAATATAATAATAAGGTATATTTTAAATTTTAAAGAATAAATGGAACTAACAAACCTCAAATAATACTGCAAATTTGTTTATACTAATTTTGTTATTTCTCTTTTGCTATAAACATAAGTGGCATTAAAAAAACTGAGACATTAATTTCAGGTATTTTTTCATTATATGGGAGAGAAGGTAGGGAGTGGGTTGGAAAAGTGGAATGCTGTTACAGTATATCATTTCTAAATTTATTATATTTTGTTCATTTTGTCTTAGGAGGGAGCTAGAGGGGTAAACGAGCCTGGATGTGTTAAGCTGTTGGGCGACACGATTTTCCCCAAGTCTACTTGTGTCAGTTGGTCGGTCGCCCAGTAGAGGGGCAGGTGGCATAGTATACTAGGCTATCCTTTCTTCCACGCGATCATGTGACTAATAGCACATTGCACTACCCATCAGCAGATTGCCACCTATACCTGTTATAAATAGTGCCCTACTCGCGTGATTTGGTGGACCACTATAATCTTTTAACAAACCGTAATAGTGTGGCGCCGGGTAGATACTACTGCGGTAGTTCGACCGGTGGCTTACACAAGTGCCGGCGACTCTCCTTACACATGAGCGGTCGACGAAGGTTGCTCTACCTCCATCTTGCGGGGAGTTATTAAAGTACAATTTATGGTTGTTTTCTGATGTATAAACGATAACGATATTGAAAGAGAGAACATTAAAATACACTGATTGTATGGTTGCAACAACAAAAACGATATATATAGACAGAACAATTGGTCACGCGTCTAAAAATATAACCTTGGTAACTTTTGAATGTTATCAAAAAAGTTTCATGGAAACATTTGATCTAAGATCGTATCAGTGCGCGTGAGGGGTAGAGTTGTTTTTTTATAAAAGACCGTTAGACGCCATCAGATAAATTAAGAGAACAAATTGTATCGCTGTTTATAATTATATCACTAGTTAATTCAATAGAGCAGTCAATGAACGTTTTATACTACTTTTAATTAAATTGAAGAATGAATTTTATAAATCACTGAGTTTAGAGATATATATTTTTAAGATGCATTTGTTATTTGATTTTAGCTTGGATTTAATGCACGTTCATGTGATATTTATTTTCATTTAGTTAAATTACAAGTTCATGTTACAATTGATTGACGTTCTGCTTCTTTCAATCTTCGTGAGCATATAGCTTTAAGTTTTGGGATGTATGTTTTATATTCTCTAAATAAAATGTATGATTTACAACTTCTATTCTTTAACTAAACTTGATATTTTATAGCTTCTATTATTTTTCTACTCTTGATAATTAAACAAAAATTGATGTTCTATAATTATTATATTTTGACTAAGGTTGATGATTTATATTTTATATGCTTTAACTAAACTTGATGTTTTATACTTTATATACTTTGAATAGGATTGATGTTTTAAAACTTGTACTCCTTAACTAAACTTAATTTTAGCACTTGATATAATTTAAATAAACTTGATGTTTTATACATTACATACTTAAACACAGTCAGTGCTACAAAGAAATACTTTGTTTTTAAAATCAGAAATACAAAGTGATGAGCATAAATGCAGCTATAGTGCACTATAAACAATGGCTTTTTTATGAAAACCGCTATTTTTTTCCAATAATTAGACATAATCAGCAGTTTTGGCTATTTTCTAAAATTGTATGCTACCTACATAACATATGTTAATTATAGAAAACTAATATGTTAAAAAATTTTATATTTATGATTGTTTAATATGGGTTTTCCTTACTTGTACATTTTTATTATAGTTTTTGAAATGTAATATTTTTTGGAAAACACGCATTTTCATGCACTGACAAGAAACCATATTGAATAAAAAATGTTCGCTCTCAACACACACCTGTCACGTATATCACACCGTGTGGGTAAATACAACTAGAAGGTGGTAGTGTGGGTAAATTGAGTGCACATATAATATTCAACACAAAAACATATTAGGTGATGTAGAATTTTATTGTATGGAAACATATTCATTAGATGAAATCGACACCTTTTAAAACATGCCATAGTTAAAAACAAATATACATGTATGCTTGAATTTACAAAGTTATATTTTTTTAGTACTAGTTTTGTCATTTTCATAAACTTCGGTTTTGTGCTAGTGTATTCCAGATTTTAAAAATTGTATCATTTCATTTAGTGAACGTAAAAACATATTTCGATTATTTATTCATAAGAGTTTTAAAATACTTGAGCACATAATATATCTTTTGGCTTACATGATTTAAGATAGAAATAATTATTTAGAGGTTTTTTTATATCATAAATTTGAACTATTGTATAAAATAATCTATATGTTTTTTAACCGTCTTATTTTTCCCACGTTTTCTTTAACTTGCTTTCGTCTCTGTTTGTCTTTCCAATCAAATCTTGCGATCGAAATTTCTGGCACTTCCCAGTTAGCTAGCGCGCTGAAATTTTCAGGGAAGCTTTGTTTTGGATGACAATAGATTATTCAATTGTTATTATTACTAAATTGATCCATGAAAACATTTTATTGATCATTTTAGACCGCTATATAATTGTACTAAAAACGTGGGGAAAAAGGGACTGTAATTTGATGAAAACAAGGTTCGGTACTCTCCCTCTTTGCTTACTGAGTAATGTTCACGCGGTGTTTGTGTACAAACAACCGTAACAACTGGTGGCCAGTATGAGGGAGACGATATGGTCGAGTGGTTGGGCACACGATTGCTATCCCACTCGACACGGGTTCAAATCTATGTGTTCTAGTCAGTAACGTATTCACACACCGTGTTTTTTACCAGTTGTCTTTTTACGAGTTGTCTTTTTACGAGTTGTCTTCGTTTACCCAAAAAAAAAGTGAAAAGATAAAATCGATAGCAAAATTTTAATGCAAACAAACAGACAAAGACTAAAAAGTAGAAAATAATAATCATTAAAAAAGTTTTTAAAAACCCACGTTTTCTGATTGAACTAAAAAGTAGAAAATAAATGCTATACATCACAATAATGCAAGCGATCACTCTACTATAAGCGATCAAAAACGTGGGGCGCCGTGATTTTCTTACAGTTTCTAATACTGTTGACTCTCTACAAGCTCCCTAATAAAAGTCAATAGTATTATCTAATCAATAGTAATATAACTTTTACTTCGGCACCCCACGTTTTTCATCGCTTATAGTAGAGTGATCGCTTGCATTATTGTGATGTATAGCATTTATTTTCTACTTTTTAGTTCAATCAGAAAACGTGGGTTTTTAAAAACTTTTTTAATGATTATTAATTGGTGTTTTCTTTAAATATATGTAATACAAATATTTATTTACATAGACAAAAAAATGTTGGCCTTTATTTTTTAAATTTATCTGCCAACGAGTTACTCAAAAATAATATGGCGACACAATGCAACATGTTCAGACAGACGATAGCAAACAATTCCACACCAGATAAAATTTAAAATATAAAGACGAATAGTAAAAATAATAACTCGAGAAGAAGGAAAATATTTTAGAAGTGACCTGGAGCATGATACGACATACATGACTCAGAGAATATACAATAAGTATTAGATAGGACTTAGGTCAAACTTAGGGTAAAATAAGGGACAACACCTAGATTTAACTGTGGTATTGCAAAATACGATTGTCCACCTTGACAAGTTTTCTATTGTTGCAATGAAAATACACAGTTTATATTTTTATTTTCGTTTCAATTTTTTAATCGTTTAAATAAAATTTCAATATAAATCATCAATTACATTACACTTTATATGTGGTTGAACAAATTTAATTTTAATTTAACATTAAAACGTTTAACTAAGTAATAGTAGCATGAAATCCAACATGAGATCCAGCATGCAGTCTAATTTTTTATGTTTATTTTTTGCAATAATTGTAAAAACATTTTCGAAGGGGGTGGGGGGGTGTTGTGTTGTAACGATTAGGGATGAGTTGGCATATTCAATTCAATAGGCTTTCGTCTTAAAAGGCAGATTGTCGTGAAGTACATTGATGCTGTTTGAGTTGTGTTTGTTTATTGAAATAAATAATTAGTTTTAATCTAGTAAAAGAAATAACAGATAATTACGAAACAACGCTTAAACTTTAGAACTTCTGCAATATGGAATTGGTCTACATCGTATTTACCTTCGCATTAAATAGTTCGAGAAATAGTTTAACCGGCGCAGTGTTGAAAAGCAAATCTCGTAACTCTTCTACTAACAAAACTATCATTCAATTCTCGAACTTTCTCCATTATAATCCAATCAGTAGCTTACTCCTCTCCCCGCAGCTAGCATAGCATCAACACAAACACATGTTACAACCCTAGCAATAATAACAACACAAACAACAAGCAATACAGTTACGCTACCGCTATACCAACGCTAACTAACCTTTACATCAATCCATACAACACTCTCTAACTTAACACTCCACAACCACCACAACCCCTCTCTACAGATATCTACATCATCTCTTACCTCTGCATTTACACCTTACCCTAAACCAATATTTAAACAAACACCCACACTATATTTAGACCAAGCACAACAATTATATTAAACCAACAAATACCTTTAGACAAAATTACATGTTAATTAAGAAATACATT